TATTGCTATCCTACTATGCTGGTTTTGCCCTGTCGCATTGTACAGTTGGCAGTAGGTCTCTTGTTGTGCCCCGCATCCCCTGCTCCTATTGCAGTGGCAGTTGCTCTTCACCCAGTGCCTCCCATCGCTCTGTTTGGCTCTTTATCCAAAGCTGTCGAATTAATTCAGTCAGTTCCTTGGGGGATGCTGCCTGCTGCTGAGCACCATTTCACAAACGTAGCTGGCTTTGGGCTGTTGCCCTTTTCTGAAGTCTCAGGCACAGAGCCTCAACAGAGATTTGGCTTATATTACACATACCCTGAGCAGTTTTTCCTCATCTTCCAGCTGGACTGCTTACTGTGCTGATCATCCTGTTCCTGCCTTTCAATTTGCTCTTTCAACCATGCTCCATTTACTTTCCTACACAGAGTACCTTCAGTGTCAGGAATGTGGCCAGGTGAGGGGCAGCCCTATAGCTATAGTTTTCCAGATCCTTTCTGGCAGGAATTTTGGAGGAGGAACTGTCTTGAAAACTGCTGATGTTCTTTCCATTAAAAACAGTGTTGGTTTTTGGCCCTTAAGTTTTTCCTGCTGCCATCTCAGCTGTAACTTTAAATTTAATTTCTACTTTTTTTTCTTGCACTTTTCCCAAATTCTTCATTCTCAGATTTTAAAGATTATTTTGTGGAATCATAATATCTAAATAAATGAAGCTGGTTTCTCCATGTGTTGTTTTGTCTTGCTGTTATCCAGTTGTTCTTTTTGCACAAACTATCGCTCTGTTGCTGTTGTCTTCCTCTTCAAACGTTGTCCAACCCTCCCCAGAATACTGCACCCATTCTGGTTTCCCCCGAGCTCCTCTTGCTGACAGCATTACTTTTGAGCTCAGAGCTCTGTGTCCGTTTTTACCCTGCTGCTTGTTGCTGCTGAACAATGATATTTCTAAAATACGTTAACCTTTCCATGGATATAAATCACTTGCCATGGTTCCCAGTTACCATTATGTGACTACTGCCCCATCAGCCTTTCTGGTGAAACTGTTTGCCTTGATACAGAATCTATTTAAGGATGAGTTTGGCTGAGCACTGTGGGATTTCTCAAAGTCAGCTTGGCTGTATCTTTGTAGAAGTCATTCTTCCCTGGAAGCAGCAGAAAAATACTTTTCTTTCTCCAAATAGGAGAGATGGTAAGAATCTGCTATGAAAGATCCCTGCCAGCTGTGGACTCCAGCTGTGTGATGAGATATGAACCTGGCCTGTTTATGAAATAAAATAAATGTGAGAGTTCTTTAGCTAGTTGTATTTGAATATCAGTGTTAAGGACTAGGGATGTTTAAATATTGTACTAATAGTCAATTTTGGAAGACAGAATCTTTTCTGTTTTCTTCCCTGAGCTCTCTGGTTTTTCTCTCAGTTTCTGCATAGGCTTTGTATCTGTAGCAAGCTCTGCAGCTGCAAACAAGTCAGCTCTGAGTTATTTCAACAGAGTTCATTTGCCTATGGAGAAATATCCCTTCACACACCAAAAATTGTGCTCATCTTCTGGTGATTTTATGAGGACCAGGGATGTCAGCGCCAGCCCAGGAGGAGCCCTGCTGGGCAGCTGTGCTGTGAGGCACGTTGCTCTTGGCAGTGACTGGTTGAGTAAGTAATCTCCTTTGGAAAACGTGGGTAAATCAACTGTGTTAGCATTGTGGCTCTTCTGGAATCTGGCTGCAGAAATAGAGCCATGTGTTTGCTCCCTGCTGACACCGTCTGTTCCTGTGTTCCTCCAGCCAGCATCCGTCCTGACTGTGGGCTTGTCACAGGAGCAGGGAGGGTGTCCAAGTGGCCCTGGGAATACTGTGCTTCCTACTCTGGGACAGAACAACTAAGCCACGGTTGTGTCTGTGGGAGGGGTGTGCTTTGCCCAGCTGGGCTTGGATTTCCAAATGCTTTCCTGCTCATTTGTGCTCATGCTCAGTGTGCAGGGGGCCCTTTATTATATCCATACAAGGAATTATGTTTGCCGGAACAGTGTGGCTTCCAGTAGTCTGTTGTGAAGGAACGGTGCACAGGTGCTGCTGCAGTGGGTGTTGCCTGGTTTTTGCCTCCTGGCAGATCACTGTGAGGCACAGCAGTAGTTCAGCCTGGGTTACAGAGCACGTAGAACAAGGTTTCTTGTACAGCACAGTGAAAGGCACTTGTGTTTCACAGTGCTCTCAGCTTTGCATCCTGTTGGCTAAACTCAAGATAAACAAGAGCAGCCTTTCTGACCTGTGCCCAGAGCATCTGGGTGACTGAAAAGGAGGAGAAAGTGAAATGGGTACAGATCAGCCTGATCTTGGAGGCTTTGCCCTGAAATCTAGCTTGCTTCCAGCTCTGACAGCTGGCCAGAAATCCCTGGAGAAAATGTGCCTTCCCAAGAACCTCTCAGTTATCCTGTAAGATCCAGTTTTAATTTCAGTTATATTGGTATCCCTTCAGTTAGCTGAAACAGTTTTAAATAGCCTGGCTTCCAAACACAGTTACATTTTAAATTAAAAAAACATATATATGTATAAATTGGAACCATGCTCACTTTATTTGTTTGTGTACATCTTTCCTTCCATTTTCAAGAATTGCATCTCATGTCCAATTTCTTTTTGCAGTTTTGTTCAGTGGAGGGACTGCTGTATGTCAGCCATGCTAAAGGGCAAGTGATGGAGGCAAGTATTAGTTTATATATTCATAGTTATCTCATACCGTTTTTACCAGTTTCGCCTTTTTAACTGCTTTGTTTCTTTTCCACTGCTGCTGTGAAATAACTGCACAAGTGAAAGACTGTACGGGCATGTTCTGGGAGGGAACCATGTTATATGATCTGCTCAGTGTGACTGTGGATATAGAACGACTAACTGTCCCTGATGTACTGTATGCTCATACAAATGAGAAGTGTTGCTGAGCTTCATCCTGAAGGCACTGCTTTTTTTCCCTCAAATATAGAACATAGAGTTGTTACGAGTTGAAAGCAAGCATAAGGATTCAATGTTATTGCAAATAGATGTGCTAATTTATTCTGCTGATTCACAGTTCTTCTCATTTATGAGTAAAGCAAATGTTTTTCTCTGCAAAGATAGATACTAGTACAAATAAGTAGCTCTAAGGACCTTCGTACCAGAAATGCTCTTTGAAAAGCTTTGTTCAGACTCGCAACAGATTCACCATACGGAAATGTGAGCAGATGACCACAAAGCTTGTGAGTCATGAGTCAGTGTAATGTCAGCAATCATTCACAGACCACATGGGCATGGCAGTGAAACGTTTGTGAACTAACTGGGCTCATTTGTTTCAGGTGAGTTTGTAAATTGAAACAGAGCTGATTGGAGCAGTTGATGGTTTCCAGCAGCTAATGAATGCATGGAACTTCGGTTAGACAGAGGTGATATTGTTTTAGATCAACAGTATTGCCAGTGGTAATCTGCATAGAAAGCATATGGTGGATAGTAAAAATGATGAGTGAGGAATATGTTGGAGATCTGTTCTGAACTACAGCTTTTCTGCGAGACCAAACTGAAAAATGAATGCCAAGAGAGTTGGCTAAAATGGAAAGTTACAGGTCAGCTGCCAAGGCTGTATTTCGTACGGCAAGTAATTCTGGGACTCCTGCTTTTTTTAGCCATTGAGTTTTGTTCACTTAACTGTCCGCTTTTTTGTTTTGAATTTTGTTCACTTCTTTCTGCTGGGTGATGAGAAAAACCTATTTGTGCCTTTTTTTCTCAAAACCAATTAATAGGAACATGCTATTCAACTTCATGAGAATCAGTTACGTTAGAGAAAAGTAGAAGCAACTTTAAGAAAGAGCTTAAAAATCCAACTGTGATACTGATCACTTAAGGCATTATGTATGTAAAAATAAAAGATTGGTGGTTATCTTTTGATTCTGCCACAGTTCCACAGTGAACGTGGGTAAATATTTTTACTTTCTTCTGAGGTGAAGCTTATTGCTTTGCCTTTAAATGGGTTATTGATTAAAATGGTGATATATTTTAACTGGTGCTTTTAACGTGGTTTCAAAGTGCTCAGCTAAAATACTGTAAGATTCCAGTGGTTTGCTTCTGTAGTTACTGAATGTCATCTCACCTCCAACTTAATGCAGTGATGTTTGGGGAATAGAAAAAAAAGCAGAAGTGAGTGTGATGCAGCTCTTGTATGTTTTTGGATGCCAGTTTAAAAAGCATCTTGGAACATCTGTTCTAACCCATTGTGTTGGGTTTCAGAAGTACAAAATTGAGAGCTCTGCAGCTGTAGCCTCTGTGCACTGTATTTCTGCAGCTGCTTCAAAATGCAAACGGATGTTCTCAAATCCCAAGCATGTGTTCCATTTCACATGAAATGTTTTTTAAAGCACAGGCTGCCTTTTGCCAAGATTGAGTTGACTTCTGTGGTCTAGTTTCTGTATTTTTATAGAAGCCTAACCAAAGTGTTTTCCTGCAAGAAAACAACGATCAGCTTCTGAGCACGTGATCTCATGGTGCTAATGTGAAACTCAGATATTGTGTCCTTCCTTCCTTCCTTCCTTCCTCATTCCTTGCTGTACTTCTCCAGCAGTGTGTTGTTACAAAAGTTCTCAGTTGCACAGTAGTGTAACCAGCTGCTTTCTGAGCTCTGCTGATGTGAGGAGGGGAGGCTGATGTCTTCTGGAGAAAACCTGCGTGTTTTCCCTGCCGTGGAGGCTGAGCTACACGCTGTGGTGCTGCATTCTCTGCCCATTCAAAAGGGTTCCTTGATCTTCTTTTAAAAAGGAGTTCTGTTTTCTCCAAGGATTATGGATGGGACTATGCCCATTGAAACCATTTCACTTGCCTGTCCTTGCTTGACTTTCCTGTCTAGTTTCCAGTGCAATCAATAGATGCTGGCAGCAATAAGGCATTTCTTACTGCTTGGAGATAAATGGTTAACTGATTTGGAAATGTTCTGTCTTCTTGCATTTATCAAATACTGTGGAGTTAAGCATTCTGCAGGAAAATCAGGTAGGCAGGACAGATGTTATGATAGAAGCATGTTCCTTTGATAAGGAACAAAATTAATTCTGCCAAAAAGTCTAACATGTTCTATGAAAGTGTAACTTCACGTTATGTTACATACTACTGTGGGCTTTGTGTTCTTAATAACAAAAAAAACCCTTGTTCTTTCCCTTCCTCCTTCCCCACTTTTGTAGACTTTTTTTTCTTTAGAAGAAAGCCTTTCTTGCTTCACTTTGTGCTGTGCTTCTTCCCCTAGGCAATAAATGAATTGTCTCATACAAGCTTTGGCTTCTGCACACAGCCTTAGATGCAACTAATACCAGGATTGAGGGATGCTTGGAAAACCGATAAATTTGTTTTGTTAATGGCATGTTTTGTACATTGTTTTTTTTAACCCACTAGTTTCTGCATGGATGTGTAATAATGGCTCTTTTGTTTAACATTAGATAAGCATGAGATCACCGTGGCACAGCTGCATGTGTAGTCACTCTTGAAGCAATTGCACACCTAATTGGCTGACAATCTTGGCATTTTTAAAACAAACACAAGCCTTTTAAAGACAGGGGACATGTTTATTTACGAATAGTCAAATTAACCTGTGGGGTGTCATCAATGGAGCCCTCTGGCAGTGAACAGTTGTGCGATGACCCTGATCCTGGAGGCAAATCCCAAGATCAAGAGACCAAAAAACAACATGAATCAGAGCAAAAATTATCCAAAATAACCCATAATGCTTTGGAGAACATTAATGTGATTGGTCAAGGCTTGAAGCACCTTTTCCAGCATCAGCGCAGGAGGTCGTCAGTTTCTCCACATGATGTTCAGCAAGTTCAGGCTGATTTGGAGTCTGACATGGATTTGGAAAGCCAAAGCGCCTGCGCTGAAATTGATGGTGTCTCCACCCACCCTACAGCTCTGAACCGAGTGCTTCAGCAGATCAGAGTGCCACCTAAGATGAAGAGAGGGACGAGCCTGCACAGCAGGCGGGGCAAGACGGAGCCTCCCAAAGGAAGTCCCCAGATCAGCAGGAGGTCTGCACAAGATATGCAATCAGGTCGTCCCAGATCGTCGTCCACTACAGATGCTCCCACGAACTTGTCCGTGACGGAGATTGCTTCTTCTGTCTGTGTAGGTGGAGAGGAGGCCACAGCAGCAGTAAGTTACTCAGATTTACCTTTGGTGTTTATCATCTCCTTGTGTGTTTTCTTAAGACTTTTGAACCTTGTTTTTAAAAGCAAGTGTCTTTCAGCAAACTGAACTACTACTGTGTTCAAAATCTTTTTGCGTGTGATGAAGCAAAGATGCAAGCATTAGTCATTTTCTCACATGGCAGGTGCTTATTTTATTTGATTGCTGAAATGAGGACTACTTCTGCAGCATGTTAAGCTGGTCAGATGGTGCATTGCAGGCAAGCAAGGAATGATGGGAAGAGCAGCAGCCCGAGTAGTCCTTCTTAGCAGCTATTTCCTGCAACTGATGTGGCTTTTTTTCTTCCCTTCATATTTTATTGTGTATTTTCTAAAAGTGAGGAATTCCAGTTTGAGCAAATGGAGCAGTGGATTGTTCACGTTGTAGAGAGGCTATGGGGATGGTGGCTGCAGTAGGTAACTGAGTTGCAATGCCAGGGTGGCCAAATTTGTCAGTCAGCCCTACTACTGTGCTGAAATGAGCCTTTGCCAAAATGACAGTCTCTGTTCTGTGACTTGTTCTTGCAAAGTTATGTGTATTGGTTTACTGATGATATCAAGTAGAAGTATTTGTCTTAATCTTTCATGTTTCCCAGATCTGTTTATCTGAAGTGCTTGCAAGATCTTCAAATTGTGGCTTATCATTGTGATCTAGTGTGTAAATATTCCTCTTGGAAGGAGCATTGAGAGTCTAACTTTGAGATTTCTGTTCTGACAGCAATTAAAAGAAAAGGAATAGTGATATAATTGGGAAAAGTGGATGCTCTCCAAGAACCAGTTAACTTTGTGTCTGAACTGTATCAAAAGAGCTCTTATACTAGTTTCAGGTTTATTTCCTTGCAAGCTCTTTTTCATTGTGATTGGACTCATGACCTTTGTTTCAGGTGAACTTTGAAGAGAGCCAGTGATTTTCCAAGTTTATATCCAAATCCAGCAACTTGAGTTATGAAGCATGGCAGCCTGTTTTGGTTTATCAGGTTACAACCTTAGCTCATTTAGATCTGATATACTTGATTTTAAACATGCTTGCTTACTTACAAAGCGCTATTGTAAGTGATGTCTCAGTGTACGTGCAGGAAGGGAGGCTGTTCTGAAAGTGCTCACATTTTCCTTTAGTAGTGGCCCTTGCATCTCTGTGATACGTGTGCAGTGTGAGAACCCTTTGTCACGAGGCTGAGGAAGGCTGTGGAAATGAAGTTGATGCACCTCAGCATGGCCCCTCTTTATCTCATCACCCGAAGTGTGTCTGCTGCTTTCAGACTTGCACCTCACACTCTGCCCTTAACCTGAGACAACCTCTGCGCTAATTTGGGATTGCTTCCTGACACCCATCCTGAAAAGCATAGGTGGACTTTGAGATAAAATCCTAACAAACCCTTCAGGAGTGCTGACAACATTTGTTGGCATGTCTCTGAGCTTTGATGTTTTAGTAATGTTAGTATCTGTGTAGGCCCATGTAGAATTGGGAAAGAAAAGAGTGAGCAAGGGGGGGAATCTTAAAATGAGAGCAAGAATTTTTTATTTTTAGCAGAACCAACTAAAAGCCAAAGCAATGGCAATACTCAGTCATGAACTTTTTGTAAGCTAGCAGCAAGGGCCTCTAGTCATACAAGATTCAGTTTACTTCAGAGATTTGACATGCTTGTACACAGACTCAAGCTGAGACAGTACTGGCTCTGGCTTTGCACTTTCTTACACGTGTACAGCTACAAGGTAAATATCAGTCTTCAACATCTGGCTACTTAACAGCATTCAGTTTCAAATGCAGTGGGTTGTTAGTGCTCACTCTATGTAGCATTCTGCAGTTGTGCTTCTATATGTGATATTTTTTTTTTTTAATAAAAGGCTATGGAGTGATCATCTAAAATGCATCATTTCCCCACCCTCGTCCTGAAATTTTCTTATAACTTTACAAAAGATAGATGTGTGCTTAAGTTGTCAGTCTATGTTTAACCAGCTTCAGCTATGACTGATCAAAGTTGAGTAGTGTCTGGAGGAACATCTGGCTCTTGCCAAAGGATGGCGGTGGAAACAGATACCCTGAAGATAGTAAAGAAAACCAAAAACTGCCGTGGATTCCATACAGTGGCTTTCTGCAGTGTGGAAAATACCAAAACAAGCAAGAATTGGTGAAAATTGTTCTTACTGGCTGTAAATGACCAAGGAAACCATACTAGCAGCATGGAGCTGTGTCTGTGGTTCCTATCCCAGGCACTGGTGCCGTACAGCATCTCATATCTTAGAAAAGTGCTGTCATAAAAGCCATGCCTGTTGTAGCCTGCAAGCAGTCTAGAGCTTCAGAGTTGCTTGGTTCTGTTTTCCATGGGTGTCCATCATGAGTGTCCATGCAGTAGAAATTTTCAAGCTGGGAAGTTTCTGTTGAATTTGTCGGCTTATTATGTCTTTATTAATAACTAAAATCAGTGAGTTATCTCAGATAGTGTCAGCTGCCTGGCCATGAAAACACGAAGGCATTAAAAAAAAAAGGTGGAACCCAGTTTGTAATAGAGAATTCTATGCAGCAGCTAATTGCTAGCATCTCTAGGTCTAGCAGTTTAAAAGTATTTTCTTGTTCTTCCATTATTTTACAAACTTCATTCAGACATGCATGGTTTTATCAGTTTTTGGTATAATCATATCATAGAATGTCTTGAGTTGGAGGCTCCTTAAAGATCTAGTATTCCTGATGGGGCCCCAAGGTCAGGAAGGACTAGAACAAAGTGCAAATAAATGACTGGAAAGGCTTTGTGATAGACAAAATACAGTTGAGATAGGCAAAGTGCAGAAATGACTGTGGGACTGGAGCTGAAGGAGAGGTGTGCTTGTGTCAGCCCTTCACGCAGCCCGGCCTCGGATCAGCTGGCTGTGCTCAGGGCTCTGGTGAAGAAAGTCAGGAATCTGCTCAGCAAGGGTCTGAAATCAGGAGAGCGCAATTCAGCCGATTGTTGAAGCGGTCTTACAAGAGGCATCGGTGTGTTTGGCATCTGAGAAGCAAATGTGGCATTCAGTTAATTGCTTTCTCTTTAGCGACTTGTATTGCAAAACTAGTTACCACACAGTTCAAATGATGCAGTTGATAAAGGGTGTTTAGCAACTTGTGTTGCAAAAGCAGTTACCACACAGTTCAGATGGAGTCAATAAAGGGCTAGGTAACATCTGGAACTGTTGCAGTAAGCTTAAATGGAGCACAGGGCACGTTAAGCATGAACTCAGCCCTTACACACTGTCTTTAAGTTATGAGTGGTGAAGTTTTAGCACATTGTTACATCAGGGAAACGGGGTGAAAGCATTTCATCCACTGAACCTGCATTATTTCGCAAATCTTATGAAATAAGAATAAGTTCTTCAAAATACTTGTTAAATAACACTCTGGTATTTGTGGGGAGAGTACTCTGCACTAGTAGGTTCAGCTCTTGCCTGTGTGTGCTCTTGCCAGTTGTGTATGCAGCAAATCTGTCCTTGATCTCATTTCATATTAACTTTCTCATGACTATGCCAAGTTATCTTCTTTTTGATCTCAGTCTCTCAAAAAAGATCTTTAAAAAATAAAGCACCACCAAGTTCGCTTTCTTGATGTTGGTGTTTCTTCAGTGGCAGTGTTTCTTCTGTTCTGTAGGGACTGTACAACTCACAAGGACAAGGAAGCAACGTATTCAGTGAAAATACTGTGATTTAGTAGTGACTGAAACGTGTAGTGTGTGAATTGCAGTCGAGCAATGTTATTCTGTTTTTGTCTGCTGAATGTCTTCTGTCCTCAGCTGAACCGCCAGCCCCCACCGCCTGTTGTGCTCTGAGGTTAGTGGCTGCCACGGTTGTGGAGCTCTTCTGCCCCCGTCAGATGCATGGTGGCACTCATCCCTACACCGTGCTCAGTGCTGCTCCTTGAGCAGAAATTCCTGCTCTGCTTTGCCTTCTTTTTTTTCTTCCCGATGTTTAGATCCTGCCATCTAGAAGAACTACTAGGCATTTTATTCTCTTGGAGTGGTTTCATTATTGCAACGTTGCGAATCGCATTTTGAAATAAGGGGCAACGCATTCCTTTGCTACAGTGTTCTGTAGCTACTAAGTAATGCTGCATAGTGTCTGTGGTTATTAAGCCTAGAATTTGCCCGTGACTGCAAAAGATTTCGGTACGTGTAAAGACAAAGTCAGTGGACATGGCTTACTGAGAAATTAGCTTTCAATTGTATTTTGTTAGGTGTGTGTAAAGCTTTTGCAGGCGGCTCTGAAGTTGTCAGTGCTCGTTTGTGTGGCAGGAGCCTTATCTGTTGCAAATGTATTTGTGAAGCATAGATGGAGAGCAGACCAAATGCTTCTGTCTAGAGTTTACCACTGAAGCTAAAGAGCAGTTAAACACATTCAGACTATTTCCATATCTTCCATATTTGCAGAGTCTGGCCCAATGTTTCATGCTCTGTCCTTCTGTGTGAAGTTGTGCTGCACCGTGGTTTAAATATGTGCTCTCCTCTGCCTACAGATATGGTGTTCTGAGCACAGCGTTTGTGATTCATTGTGTTGTGCAGTTGGGCCTACTGTTATACTTAATTTTTAACACTAGGTGCTGTACTGTAATTTGGAGAAAGGAAAAAAAAAAAAAACAAAAAAAACCAACTTCATCGATATGGCTGTTAATGAGGTAAGTAGCAGAAGTGAAAAATGAGTTGTTTTTTTTTTTAATGAGGTGTCCATTTGTGAAACTGAGACCATGCTGTCGTGGGGCAGTTGTTGAAGACTCCTCAGACCTGAAGCAGAATGGCAGAGCCTGCATTCCTGGACCTGCCTTTCAGGGTCCCCTTCTAGGGAAAAAGTTTTTTCATACCTGCCCCACATGTGTAAGTTTGGCATCAAAGTTCCTAGCAGGGGGGGGAAAAAATCACACAACTTACCAGACATGGCAATATTTTCTACTGTCAGCCCTGCTCCCCTAATCACTGCCTTTTGCAGTTGATAATTCTATTACCATGTTCCTACCTCACCTCCACGTTTTCTCCCCAAACTCTGCTATGACTACATGAGCTGGTCTTTGTTCTTATCCTGGAAACCATTTTGTAGTCAAAATCTATCTACAGTTTAAGTCCTGTGTGTCACTCCAGATCCTGAGTACCAAAGACATCTTGTTAGGCCTCATTCTTCTTTTCCCAGAACCTTCTCTTTCTCCAGCATGCTTTGTGCGGCAGGTCAGCTTTCATCCATCTCCTGATGATCTACACCCACTCTTCCTTTTTTGTGCTTATAACCTCATTGACCCCCATACTAAGTATGCTGCCAGGAAGTTTAGGAGGTTAACATTTTCGAATCATTGTTTCCTTAACCCAGGAAGGGTTTTGTTTGCTTTGTCTTATTTCTCTCCCCCTCCTTTGTATGTGGATACTGCAAAGTTTTGGAGAGCAGAATCTTTATTTCTTGTTTGTCTTGCTAATCCCCTGAGAGCAGTCAGGACTTATATTGATGTTATGAGCAGTAACTCATGTTTGTATGATTCTACAGAATAATGAGTACTGGGGAGCCCAATCCTGCGTGATGCTGAGGTCCTCTGTTCCAAGTGGGAGTTAAGGACACAGTGCTTTTGCATAAGGGAAAGTAAACTCTAAGTAATCCATTGCATGCAAGGTATTTTTAGTTCACAGTATTGTTCTCTTCTCTGCTCTCTTCAGTTTCTGTTGAATTTGAAGGGCAAATTGCTATCCCAAAACCACAAATCAGATTTGACCTAACACCTCATTTACAAATGTTTGGCATGGAAAATAATGCAATAATTAAAGTTTTGTGGAGATATTTCATTTGATGTTATATTTCTAGTAGTGAACATCTAAATATTTTTGCATAAAGCCTTGTTTTTCTATAAAAGCAGCCCTCTGAGCTGTGAAATCAGAACTTTGGTGGCTTAGAAATGGTGGTGTGAGACTGCTTGGGTTTCACTGAGCTTTTTGTGGGTTAAGGATTTACGGGGCATGAACAAACAACAATATTAAAGTGCCAGAGCTACAAAAGTAGCAGCTGTACTTGGGTGAGAGGTTGCTCTCTGTGTTGGAACCTTACCAGCGTCAGTTCCTGAAGGAGGGCTGTAAAGAGCACGGAGCCAGGCTTTTCTGTAGTGCCCAGCAGCAAGTGTAGATGGCAGAGGGCAGAAATGGCAACGTGGCGGAGCAGGCAGTGGAGCACTGGGTCAGGTCACCCAGACTGGGGGCTCTCCCTCCTTGGAGGTCACCAGCCTGGATGTGGAGCTGGGCACAGCTCTGGTGGAGGGCCCTGCCCACCTCTGCCAGTCTGTGGTACTGTGGTACAGAGTTGAGACTTCACATATTGAGGTCACTGACCTTTTGGATGGATTTTAACAGTCGGGGAATGATGAAGATACAGGGTGGTGATCATTGGATCTATGTCCAGGTGGAGGCCACTAACAAGCGGTGTCCCCCAGGGCTCTGTCTTGGGACTGGGTGCTCTTTAACATCTTCATCAATGACAGCGATGATGGAATCAAGTGCACCCTCAGCAATTTGCTGATGATACCAAGCT